CCAAACACTAAGGAATTTGCCAACTGGGTTGGAAGAACTAAGAAGAAGGATATTTATGTTATTGCTACCCCCAAGAGACCGGTTCCTCTTGAGCATTTCTTGTGGGCGAATAAACAGATGTTTAAGATCGTCAATGCTGAAAAGCAGTTCCTTTCTCAGGGAAGAGCGGATGCTGATGCAGCTTTGAAACCGAAGAAGGATACCCGTGCTGATGCGCAGACAAACGCTCGCGGTGGTCCAGCGGGACGGGGTGGACCAGCTGGAAGAGGTAGTCCCAACATGCGGGGAGGTCCTAACCAGCGTGGTGGCCCTAACCAAAGAGGAGGCAGAGGTGGTGGTGCTCCGCGAGGTGCCAAGCAGGCCGCTGTGGTTCCTAGGAATGCACCCAGCGGTATGCGTAGCATGAACCAAGACCGGAATATTTGGGTTCATCTTATCCAGCATCTCAAGAAAGAGAACTTGCTGCCGGCTGTTGTTTTCGTTTTCTCAAAGAAACGTTGTGAAGAGAATGCGGATGCGTTGAGTAATATCGATTACTGTAACGCTACTGAGAAGAGCGCGATTCATATGATTATTGAGAAGAGTGTTGCTAGACTGAAGCCTGAGGACAGACAGTTGCCGCAGATCAGAAGGATTAGGGAGTTGTTGAGTAGAGGTTTGGCGGTGCACCATGGTGGTTTATTGCCCATTGTTAAAGAGTTGGTCGAGATTCTTTTTGCAAAGACCCTGGTTAAGGTGTTGTTTGCGACTGAGACTTTTGCTATGGGTCTTAACTTGCCGACTAGAACTGTCGTCTTTTCGGGAACTAGAAAACATGATGGAAGATCTTTCCGTGATTTGCATCCTGGAGAATATATTCAGATGGCTGGACGTGCTGGAAGACGTGGTTTGGACAGCTCAGGTACTGTCATTATCGTCTCTCGCGAGGACGAAGCCCCTGCAGTAAGCCTACCCCCTCGAAGCTGAGGATATAGATGGATTGCTAACGAAAATACTATAGGAGCATATGCTTAAAGCTATGATTCTTGGAGACCCAACCAAGCTGCAGTCACAGTTCCGTCTCACTTACACCATGATCTTGAACCTTCTCCGAGTAGAAGCCCTCAAGATCGAGGAGATGATCAAGCGCTCCTTCTCCGAAAACACAACTCAGATGCTTCTCCCCGAACACGAGCGGAAGGTACAAATGAGTGAGGCAGATTTGAAGAAGTTGGTCCGAGTAAACTGCGACATCTGTTCCACCGACCTGGAAGCCTGCCATGCCGCCGCGATTAAAGCTAGTACCTTGAACGCGGAGATGATCATGAAGGGGTACCTCGTTGCCAAGAGACAGAAGTTATTCAGTGCTGGACGTTTGGTGGTTATTAACGAGCAACAAGGCACTAGAACTATTGGAGTTCTTACTGCTGTTGGAATCCACGCTGGCCCTCAGCCTGTACTAAAGGTTCTGTTGTTGAAGCCTACAGAGGAACTTAACCGGAAGCAACCCTCTGATCTCTTGCCTTTCCTTCTGCATAAAGAGTTCAAGATCCCTGCTCTCAACACCCAGGGTTGGCAAATCCGCGGTACTCACATCCCGATTACTGCAATTGAATGTGTTACCAAGACTCAAGTCAAGTTTGATATCAATGCTTGTATCGCAGGTGATACTGTAACTCTTCAACAAGCCAAGGAGGAACTCAACCATTATGCTACCAATTGGAATTTTTCCGAGTGGTTGGAAATGGATTGGACTAAAGTTAAGGACTTGGGATTTTTGGAGATTGTCGAGAAGAGACGTGAACAATTGGCTATTGCGGCTAATTCTATTGCCCCACAGTGTCCTGAATTTCATAAACATGTTAGTATTATCCCGGGAGCCTTTGAGACTTGGTGTAAGGCTGTTGGATGGTTATGATGCTGACATATTCTACCACAGTACGCAATGCGCAATGAAGAATACACACTCGCCACCGCGATCGAGCAATTAAAGCAACTGATCTCCGACCAAAACCTCCAACTTCTCCCCGACTACGAGCAGCGAGTCGCCGTTCTCAAAGAACTAGCCTTCATCGACGAAAACTGCGCCGTCCAACTCAAAGGTCGAGTAGCATGCGAAATTAACTCCGCAAACGAATTAGTCCTCACAGAACTCATCCTCGAAAACGTCCTCGCAGACTACGACCCCGAAGAAATCGTCGCCCTTCTCTCCTGCTTCGTCTTCCAGGAAAAAACTGATACCGTCCCAAATATCACTGCTCGTCTCGACCAGGGAATGAAAACCATCCTGGACGTCGCAAACAGAATTAATGCCGTGCAGACTAATCATCAGGTTTTACTAAATAATGAAAATGATGACTTTTCTACTAGACCGAGATTTGGGCTAATGGAAGTCGTCTATGAATGGGCTAAGGGTATGTCGTTTAGTCAGATTACGGAATTGACGGATGTGCTAGAAGGAACTATTGTTAGGGTTATTACGAGACTTGATGAAACTTGTAGAGAGGTTAAAAGTGCTGCTAGGATTATTGGTGATCCGGGTCTCTATGAGAAAATGCAGAAGTGTCAGGAAATGATTAAGAGGGATGTTTGTCATTGTGCTAGTTTGTATTTGTAGGAGGGGTGGGGTGGAGCGAAGTGGAGCGGAGAGGAGCGGGGGTTGAAGCAAGGCGGAGGTTGAAGCAAGGCAGAGGCTAAGGAAGGCTTAAGGGAGCGGGATGGACGGGGGAGAAGGGGGAGAAGATGGGCGCTTGAATGAGCTTGAATGAGCTAGGAGGATGAATGAGCTCGGAGGATGAAAGAGCTAGGAGGATTAAGGGGAGAAGGGGAGAAGTGAAGAAGGGGAAAGGTGAGAGAGTTGGGAGAGTTGGGAGAAGGGAACATGGAAATGAAAATGATGAAGCATAAGCATAAGCATAAGCACACAATACCATCATCACATATCATTATATCAATATCAATATATCAATTACCATTATCTTTTGATTGTAGAGGGTGATGTGGATGCTTTGTGGTTATTGGATGTTTTTGTATCATTGTTTTGAATTTCTGAATCGAGGAATTGAGGAATTGAGGAATACATACCCCAATCCTTCCTTATCCATCCTGACTCCAATTGGATTCTGACTCTCAGCACTCGGCTGCGTACCTCTATGAAGTTCCAGAGAGATTCACTTAGATTTCGTCGATTTCTATCGCGAAACCAGAGTTACCATTCCTCTTGGCTTTCCTGAGCAAGCGAAATGCCACGGAAACACCGCTCGAATAACGCCGCACGACTGAAACAGTCAGGCAACGTCTTTCACGCACTTGGAGACCTTCCTCTCGATGAGACCAATTCTACTCTCGATGGAAGCAACAATGGAGATGACGATGATGAGGCCTCACACTCACAGGCTGTCCGGACAGCGAACGTGGCCCTGGCGAAAATAGCGATCCTATGCGCTGAAACGATAAAAGAAATGTTGAGTTATATCCATAGTACCTCGGAGGCAACAAAAGAAATCCGTGATACAATTGTCTGGATGGATAGATGTAAAAATTCACACCTCGAGCACTTCAACAATATGTTACAAGGTACCCTGAAGCAGATGGTGGCAGTGTTGTTTGAGAACAATATACTGCGCAAGCCGAATGAGGCCTCCAGAACAGAAACGGCAGCCCGAAAAGTTGCTACGGACGCCCTCACTCAGAAATTTAACGAGCACACAGAAAAGTCAGCCTCTCCATCCCCGGAGATCATCGCCCCCTCTGTCGCAATGGAGGAGATGACAATGCAACTGTCCATCGTCCACAATGATATCCAAGATGTCTTGGATACCGTTCTCAACCCGAACACTAAGAGAAAGCGACGCTCCGGCCGTCAAGACATCGAACCAACATCTGACACAACCTAACGACTGATAACCCACAAACAACGACGCAATGCATCACCAGAGCATAGCCTGATACACTCCATACATGCAACTACCACTGCCCAGCATGAACTTGATGCTCCAAAGATCCAGTATCCCCCGTTCACCTGCCATAACTACAACCGAAACATCACCCAACTCTCTTCCTCAAGTATTTCCTCAGGCCACAACTCTACCGGACATCCCTAGCACTGCCCCTGCTGATGGCGTAGGTTGGAAGACAGTGGAAGGCAAGACAATGCAGAGGAAGAGGAGAACTGAACAGACAAGCAACCAAAAGGCAGCTCCAAATAACGACAAAACCCCAACAACAAAGACTGGTAGGAGGGGAAAGAGCACCTACCAACCTAAACCAACAACTACCCCCACAAAGAAAACCTGGGTAGAGGTTGTCTAAAGTCGAGGAATTAATGTTCAGATTGTCTTAGGCAGCGACCACCTTCAACTAATCACATCGACGACAATAGCCCGGAGAGAGAGGGAAGGGGGGGGGGGGGGGGGGCAGCGCGAAGGCTAAAAAAGAAGGCCCGAGCAGGCGGAGGGACGGAGGAGGAGAGAAGGGGAAGAAGCAGCCCGGTAGCAGTATAAGTCCCAAGAAAAGAAAAAAAAAAAGAAAAAAAAAAAGGAGGATTTAGATATGAAGGCAAGGGAAAAGGAACAATGGAAACAACCCAGCGGAATAATAACCGAGCGTACAGGGCTCTAGACTATATTGAGGCGAAAGAAAATCAGCATGGAGAATACCAGGGTGCTGTGGCTCCAAACAACCAAGAATGCTCTGGGGCTTTTCCCAGTAGGCCTCCGGGATTATAGACGTGGGCTTAAAGATGTATATTAACACAGACCACGTAATAACCTTACGGTTGGGAACGTTTAAAAATTAATCAATCAATCAATCAATCAATCAATCAATCAATCAATCAATCAATCAATCAATCAATCAATCAATCAATCAATCAATCAATCAATCAATCAATCAATCAATCAATCAATCAATCAATCAATCAATCAATCAATCAATCAATCAATCAAACCATCCTCACTTCACCCGCTTATTTTTTTATTATTAGCACTAGAATGTAACGCTGAATGCTGGGTATACTAATAGCTCGGATGGTCTAGTGGTATGATTCTCGCTTAGGGTTCCACTCTAAGCACCGATACATCGGCTTGCGAGAGGTCCCAGGTTCAAATCCTGGTTCGAGCCTGTCATTTGTTTTGTATGGCCCTTTATTTTTTACCTGGGTTCTTTGCCCTGGTTGGAGCCGTTTTGCCTGGTTTCTTTTCCCTGAGTTTTATCTTTTCCCTAATTCAAGCGCTTTAGTTTTTATAAACAGCTCATAGAATATTCTTGATCATGCCGGCTTGTTTGAACTTTTTGGTGGTGACATTACAGCACCGGAGTTTGGGGATTTAAAGGATCGGAAGTCAGGACTAGGGTTTGGGATTTTGGTCGTGGAATCGTAAAGAAGACCTGGGACCTGGGAATTCTGGATGGGTGGTGGATGGCTGAGATGAATGGTGGATGGGTGATGGATGGGTGGTGGATGGGTGATGGATGTTGTTTTTTGGGATGCTGGAAAGAGGGGTTGGGATTCATGTGGTAATTTTTTTTTTCGATTGTGTTTTGTTGTGGATTGTAATTTATGATACATATTTGTCAAGTATCGCTTGTTGCATGTTTTTGTTCTCTCTGGCTACTGAGATATGAGGTCTGGAGAGAGTTTTATGGGTTTTGTTGTTTTATATCGGGGTTTGTTGTTTGGTTCTTTTTTGGTGCTTTCTGTTTATACTTGGACGGTAATTAGACGGTACTTGGAGGCGAAATATGATGCTTTGGTAGAAAGGTTTCGGTGTGTAAAACATATGTTTGGAGTTGGGATTTATGGGTATTGTAAAATTCGACTGGTGTATAAAGACTTCTAGGTTCTGGCTTTTTGTGGCAGGATTATATTGCACGGAGAGATTTATTGCGGCTGTGATAGTATGCGCAGTTGTAAAGAATATGGGGGTGGAAAATGAATTCAGAGGCGTAACCTGACGGGTTTAACATGTTATCGTTGAGGCAAAGAGACTTTCGATAAATATGTATGTCACGCGTTAGAAGATGGGGTCTAAAGTGTATTCGTGAGATAGATGTTGCGTAATGTCTAAATGGTAGTGTGATCAGGAATATTTTCGTATTCTGCAACAACTGGTTTTCAGAGTTCGGCACGGTCCGTTCAGGACGGCGGACCGGATGGAACCACATTGGTCGTCCGGTCCCGTCCACAACTTTGGACGGACGGTCATTATGTGGTCCTGTCGCGTCCGCAAACTTGAAAAGACCGGACAGGACGGCGTGTGACGGCAGCACCGTGAGTTTCAGGGAGCGAGTTTGCAGTGGACGATTGGTTCAAGTTTGCCAGACATTATGGGCCGCAGCAGCAACGTTTTCAGCACCGTAGTATGCTGCACTTTAGTAATACTTTTACACTCCACTGCAGGTGCACGCTCCACCCAGCAATAATTTGACCGTCTATGGTAGCTTGATGTAGTTTTTTATTTCTTAGTAAAGTGGGATCCCGCTATAAATATTTCTTCTATCCTTCACATTCCATCTTCCACCTTTCCTTTTTCTACCTGCAGGAATTTTCCACTTTTTTCATTACCGTTGAAGTCGAACATCAACAGCCAGCACTCCATTCCCAGAAGAGCAAGAATATACCAATATTTTCGTCGCCGTCCTCTACACCTGTTCAGATCAGGAGCAGAACATCCTGCCTGTCCTCTCAAAAGTCGTTTTCATTCGAGAGGGATGGGCAAGAATGCATTTTCGTGGGGGCAGAAGTAGCATACTTATTCATCAGCATAGTTTTGATTTTTACGAGAAATTTCATATAGCTGACTTTAATTTGTGCGATGCATCGAAATGATCTAAGCAAAACACCATAAGTCGTAGTAAAAAACCGCCGTTTGCGAGTAACCGGTGGTGGCGATAGTCGAGGTCATCCACGGTCACCCACGGTCACCCGCGGTCCGTCCCGTCCATGGTGCCCCCAGGATGGTCGGTCCTGGTCCTCCTACAGGATGGGACCAGACGGACCGTGCCGAACTCTGCTGGTCTTTCGAAAATGTAGTGCACCGGTCAATGCTTTGTTATTGTAAAACATTTGACATCTGTAAATGGTTACCGTAACAAAAATTTCGCATGTCTAAAGAGGTTGTACAACTTGAAATATTTTCTTTACTATCCAACGGCGATATTTTTATGCGATGAGATTGCTGATTGGAATATATCTCTCTAGTTACATTAGGTACCTATGTATGCAGACAATACTGAACTAGTGCGGTTAAAGAATAGTAATTGGCCGCTTGTTATACATATACCACCTCCATATGCTCTGTATCATACTCCTCTCCTTTGTCTTGTAGCCCTTCCACATCTCCACGCCTTTTGGTGACATTTCCATCGTCCGCAGTCCAGCCTTGATCGACGGTTAAGCATGCCGACTTTCAGCTACATAACGGTCCAAGAACATCGCGTCTTGTTTATTCAAGATACGTTGGCTAGGAACAATCCAGGTATGTGTGCACTTGCTCTGGGCTGCCTCTCTATCCTACTGACGTGAGTGCTAGAACCCCCGATATATTTGCAGGAATCGATTCGTGCATCCGGCATTGACTGTTGCAAATCTGATCTTTCGGAAAGTTCACGGTTCAATAACAACTTGCTTATTGGGAATAGATTGGCTGGGAACCATCTACTTGGTATGTGTGCACTTCCTCTGGGCTGCCTCCTTAGCCTACTGACTTTGAGTGCTAGAACCCAAGATATAATTTCAGGAATCAATTCGTGCATTCGGCAGTGACTGTTACCAATCTCGTCTTTCAGCTACGTCACGGTTCAATAACAACTCGCTTGTTGGGAATAGATTGCCTGGAATCATCTGCTTGGTATGTGTGCACTTCCTCTGTGATGCCGCCATACCCTACTGACGTTGAGTGCTAGAATCCCAGATATAATTTCAGGAATCGATTCGTGCATCCGGCATTGACTGTTGTGAATCTGATCTTTCGGCTACTTCACGGTTCAATAACAACTTGCTTATTGGGAATAGATTGCCTGGAATCATCTGCTTGGTATGTGTGCACTTCCTCTGGGCTGCTTCCTTACCCTACTGACGTTGAGTGCTAGAACTCCAGATATAACTGCAGGAAGCATTCACTACGGAATTGTTGAGCGATATATATGATGGCACTGTCTCAAGGACACCTTTTGGAGGTAAACGTAGATTACATGGTCCAGAACAAGAAACGCGAAGATAATCATCTGCGATATCTTCTAAACGAATGGGGCATTGGACGCCAACTTCAGATTTCTGGGGTATGGGATGAGGATTTTGAAGTGAGTTCCCATGATCCATATTGAGTTGTCTGTGTGTTTCTTGGCTTCAAATGGCCAATCGTGTACGACCTATGATGCTGACCAGTCTGAAGAAAATCCTGAATGAATTGCAAAGTCTCAACAGAGAGCCATCAAGAAATTTGCAACATAAATACACTGACCTTGTCATGCTTGAGTGCATCGATCTAACGCCTCAATGCGAAGTCTCGTTGAGGGAGGAGAATCATCTATACCCGCCAGAAGACATATCCTTTTGCCACTCCAAGGAGGAAATAGAAAAGCGATGGAGGTGGCTTCATGATTTTATGTCAGGTGCTTGCATAAAATATATGTGGGTGGAGGTTACGCGCCCTGTATGTACGGTCCAAATTTCCGCCACAAGAGACAGCATCATGTATGATCAAGAAGCCTTCCAGCACACCATCCCCATTGGCTTTCATTTCTTGGACACGGTGGAAGATGCCGACTACGCGATAAGAAAGCACGTATATCCGCTTCAGATGGATTTTCACAATATCAGAGCTTGGGAGGTATGTATCCAGTATTTTTTATCAAGATTCCTCAATGAAATTGACAGCTAACATTATTCCAAATAAATCAGGACCTCAACGCTCTAGTGATATCCTACGAAAAGAAACCGCTCAAACGGATCATCCTACAGGATGAAGCCGACGAGCTTTCTTATTCGCCTGAAGATTGCGAAGATATCTGGAACTACGCAATTGCGGCACACGTCAATTCGAAGTTCAAGTTCAGTATCCGCAACGTGTATTTTCGGATCATGTCATCTGGAAAAGGAATCGAGGCTATCATCACTAAAAAACCGTTTCCAATAAAAACGACCACCGTCGATGATATCAGATGTTTCCGAGCGTCCACCCAGTTTGGGATTACATACTGGAAGCTGCCAGTCATTTGCATACCATGTGCAGTGCATCCTGAAAATGGATATTTGACAGCCAATAAGAGGGATTGGGTTATTTTGAGAACGTTTGATTTGGCCCAGAGATTCCAAAAACTCCCAAGCATCAATCATACTAGGAATGATCATGGCTGTGGGGATAAACTCTTGCAGACCAGAAACAGGTACAGTGGTGGCAAAATGGTATGTCCAAGGAATACCATCGAAGATCTTGAACGGAAAGGAGTATATGGCCGAGCAAAGGTCCATATCGGGCAAAGGAAGCTCCTTCCTACCCTTGAACATTACAATTCTTTTTTGCTTCAGAAGGGCTCGTCGATTTACTAATGTTCGCGGGTGTATGAGTGAGTATATTACTATTACGGCTTGATTTGTTTGGAAATTCTGGTTTTTTTGTACTCTCGATGGTGTTTTTTGTATTCACTTTAATGAAGCCTTGTTGAAATTGTCTTACATCGTGTCTGAACGATAACTGTAAAAATAGAAAATAAATGACTTTTTCGTTTCCTTATATCAACGTTTTTTTTTACCATATATGCCTTTGCTTCCAACATCTTGAATGATATTCTTCAAACATTCCATTGTACCTACTCTGTATTTGTTTTTGGTTTCCAAAAGTTTCTCTTCACCGTCAATTTCATTCTTCTTGAACCTGGACATTTTTGGTATCCCTGAGCTTTTTGCATTTCAAAAATTTCTTGTCGGGGTTTACGTCGCATGAAATGCGGATGACTTACGCCTTCCAATATATAGTGTCAAGACAGTCAGACAGTCAGATGCTACATCCCCACTGTCCTCCCGTATCCCATGGTCCTGTCTTCCATGGTCCGGTATAGTTTACTGGTCCAGCTGGGCTCACCGCATTGGACTTCCATGCTACGGCTTCCCTTCACCGCGG